TAGAAACTGAAAGTGAATGAAGTATGAAATTCAATTAAGACTGCTTTCTGCATCATTCAGGGCTATAGACTGAATTCTAGGGAAACGTCTCTACCTATTTCTACTTAAAAACTAGTGGAGAGTGGGCCCGGCGGCATGGCGTAGCAGCTAAAGTCCTCGCCTTAAACACGCCCCAGGATCCCATATGGGCACTGGTTCTAATCCCGGCAGCTCTACTTCCCATCCAGCTCCCTGCTTGTGGCCTGGGAAAGCAGTTGAGGATGACCCAAAGCCTTGGGACCCTGCACCCGCGTGGGAGACCTGGAAGAGGTTCCTGGATCCTGGCTTCGGATTGGCATAGCATTGGCTGTTGCGCTCACTTGGGGAGTGAATCATTGGACGGAAGAGCTTCCTCTCTGTCTCTCCTCCTCTCTGTATACCTGACTTTCCAATAAATAAATAAATCTTTAAAAAAGTGTTGTTTGAAAGGAACTACTTTTTAAATTTCCAAATATGCCACACATTGGGTTTATGTCTTAGAACTTATGTATGAGGAAAGCTAGTGTTATTAATTCACAAATGAGGAAACTGAGACCCAGAAAATCAATAATTTAAGCTAAAGGTTTCGGAGTATTTTTCACTAACTTTGGGGAGTTTCTTAACCATACAGTTCACTTTCTATGTAGCAAAACTATTTTATCCTGTGCCAAAGGAGAAATGGTCAATGAAAAAGCTGCAACATAGCTTTTCACAGATTATCATCTGAACAGTGCCTACAAGATTAGAAAACAAGTATTTTAGAAGCACACTTCATAGTAAATAAGCAAAAACAATACTCTATTGCCTCACTGGTCATCTTTGCCAAATAGCCTAATATAGAACATAACCTAAAATGATTTTTAAAATTCCATTTAGTCTTTTGCAACAGTAAAAAACACTGCTCCATAAGGCACTATGGGTTAGACACTGAATTAACAGCCTAGAGTATTAAGGATAGTTTCCAAACGTGTTGTTTGATATTTTCAAGTTGATGAGAAACGCTTACAATTACCATTGGATTTTAAAAACTGGATATCTCTAAACAAATGTAATTACAAGGGTTAATTGAAAAGATTTACACAAATGTAAAAATAAAAGAATTTAGCAGTTATCATCAAAACTAATAATCAAGTACTAAACAATGCACTTAATGAAGTTGGCCTCAAACTAGGGACTTTTAAACATGGGACCTACAGGCATCTGTGACTGTTTTGCATAATGTGTGTGGGGGGGGAAGGAGAAACAGTTCCATGTATTTTCAGGAGAAACTTATTCACTTAAGGAATAAGACTGCAGCCAGCAAAACGAAATCATGTTGAAAGTTAAGTCTGCATTTTAAACAAGCAAGAATTTGGCAAGGAAGTGGCCAAATAAGATAATCTAGAAGCAAAATAAGATAAATGTGTATGACAGCATAATAGGTCCTTCAAACTTTTTCTCAAGACTCAATATCAAAAAAGCATGTATCTTTTTGATACATTCCTATAGATTTGTCTACCTTTTGCTTAGCCACCTACAGATACATAAGGAATAACATATAGATAAAACTAGCTTATTCATGTAGGTCATCCACTACTTAATAAGTAGCTATATATTATTTGGTAGCATTCTAAACTTTTCTCCATGTAATCTTTTACTATAAATCTCTATACGTAACGTTTTTATATACTTGATTTGTAACATCACATTTTACTACAGTTCATCAACAGGTAACATTTGATAGCCTCTTAAATACCGAAAGGATCTTTCCTAGGATTAGCACTGTTATATTTGGGATGCTATTCCTGTAAATGCTTGAATTTATGAACTTCACCATAAAAAGTGATACCAACATCTTTCTTCTGAATAAGAAAAACACCACATATTTAGGAATCAAGTCAAAGTACAAAATAATGTGGGCAAATATTTCTTAGAAACAATACCTAGCCCCAATGAGGATAATCACAAAACAGTACAAGTTTACAGAAGTGTAGTCATCACTTATGTAAAGCCTATTGTTTCAGGCAGAGGAATCCAGAATGAATAAAACAGCCTCCACAACAACAAAGCAAAGCTCCTTCACAGAAGGGATCAAATGTCTTTGAGAGCTCTGTTGATGCAAAAGATGGGTTCTCATCAAACATTTGTATTACAAGACTGAATTGATAAATACATGTACTTTGGATGCTTAGGAAGTAAAGCAAGAGTACTTGGGAAGAATGTGTTAAAACCTCCAGGATTCCATTAATAGAGACAAGGATCTTGAAAAAAATTATTTCAGCTTGGGACACACAGCATTTGAAATGTTTACAGAATTAAGACAGATCTGGCCAACAGGCAATTAGCAATATCATTACGAATTTCAACTCCAGAGTTAGAAAACACAGGTAGGGGAATCAACAGTAGTATAAACTCTAGAAAGGATGAAAACTCCAGGAAAAAATAACATGGACATTTGAGGGAAAACAATAATGTTAAGTAATCAGTGTGATTTTCAGTAGCATGAAAAAATCTAAGTATTGTTATATACCTGTCGCTAACATACAATCCGAATTTGTTGTAGTAGCCCTCAGATTTTAAATGCTTTGTTTCTACCATTCCCACAAATGATGGACTTTAGATGTCCTAATAAGTTCTTGGACAAGGTGTACTTTAAAAATGTATAATTTCAAAAATTTTCACAGTAAAATAACCTTGTTTTTTTATTTCCATTTTGCACACACTTTTAAAAGTACTTTTATACTGGTATTCAGTGTTCCAATTACAATTTCCAGACTATTTCTTCACAGCCTTAAACGGCATAAAACTTTTGAAATCCCTTCCTCAGCTTCAATCCTTCAAATACAAAATGGGATAATAACAACTATTTTAAAGGATCATTGTAAATACTATGTGAATTCATAATGTACTTTCACTATTAGCGGATGCAGAATCAACAAAGGTTAACCACAAATGCTATTTTTCATTTCCTATTCCCCCATTAAAACATGCTATTAGCTGTGAAGCAGAAAACTGATCCTCACATGATGACCACCCATTCCAAATCTTTTGCCAAAAAAAATTATTAGTTATCCAAACATCTCATTTCTCATACTGTATATAGTTTTCCTCATATCTGCAGCTTAAATCATGAAAAAAAGACAAACAAAAAATTAAGTGCTTATAACAAGGGCCAAGAAATTTACAGTATTACTAGTCATCCCTGAATCTCAGAAAATTCTAAGTTAAAGCAACAATCTACATTGTCCTTTGTATCTTTTTATGAATTACTTTATAAAAAGCATACTTTTTATAAAAAGTAGAACGCTAAGGTATCTAAGATCAGAAACTTGATAATATTTTCAGCTGGTGACTACTTTTTAAGTGTTCCTGAACTCTGTCAAATACTATCTTATCACCAAATCCTCCTAGTTAATTTCCTCCAAAGTTGTACACAGTCATCTAAAATCTTAATTCCCCCAAATCTAATACCACCGCTTCCTATTTTCCATCGATTCTTACACTGTAAACCTTCTATTAATTGTCTATACCTGAACCTAACCATAGCATAAATTTCCCAAAACCAAAATCTCTTCTGCTTTCGTGGTCCTGGAAGCTTAAATACTTCTAATAGAAAACTGCTAAATAAATTGAATTCTACTTAGTCACTGATTTCATAAACCTGAAATCCTGTAATGAAATCAAGTTCAAATGTATTGAGCAAACATTTCAATTAGAATTTTGTTTAGGGACTTCTATTGACCAGCTATAAACACTTAAGATTTTTTCCCTGGATTTGAACAGGACCTTGCCTAAAGCGTAACATTAATATACAATTGTAGTCACAGTTCTGTGAATTCTCAACTACATAGATATAGATTACTGACTTTTTAGATTACTCTCAGCAAAATTTTAATCTTGGTTGGTTTCCTCCTGCTACCCAGAGTACTTCTCAGCCATCACCTTCTACCATTAGTAAGAATCGATTTTAGCATTAGTCTAAGTAAAATCACAATCAAAACATACAAAACATCGTCCCAAGTTAAATGTTTGAAATACTTAACATTTTGGGATGATGACATAAGATTGTAATATAGCAAATGCCTACTTTTATGGATAAACTACATTGAAACTATCTATCAAAGAACTATAGACAGTTAAGGATAATCTAGTTTATTACAAAGGTATTGAAACCACGCACTGTTATCCAAAAGAATTTAATAATGTATCTATTTCAAGTTATCACATGAAATTTAAAACTATATATTTAAGTCATTATGCTTACCTAATTTGTTGTGAAACCAATTTTATAAGCACACAAATTGCCAACTTGTGTTACAATAAATGCTTCATTATGAGAGGTAATCTTAAAAAAAAAAACAGCAAATTCTACTGGTACAAGTTCCTTTCGGTTTAGGCTTCTCAAACCACAAGATCTGACATTGAGCAAGATTATTTTGTCACTTCTTACTTAGATTTCAGAGGAGAAAGTATACATATCCACTTCACCCTGTTCTTTAGGATAAAAGTAGCTTCTCCAAGTAAAATAGATCAATGGATCTGGTTATCTTTTTCAGACAGTTCTTCAAATCTGTACTTCATACAGCGTAATTTCTGCTTTAAAAAAAAAAATTATTCCCTGGATTATGAAGGTAAAGATTCTGACTCTCATGGAAAACTTTTCAAAAGTTATTAATGTTTCACTTATTATTCCCAAGAACATCAAGTTGACTACCTTTCTGGTTCTTGTCAAAGTTTCCAAATTTTACTTTTTTTCCCATGATTCCAAATCCATTTGGAATGCTAACAACAAAGCCGTCAATTCTCACCACACCTTGAATACTGGGGAAAATCTAATATATACTTAACTGCAATTAGGATTTTGACCCAAATGCAAATGTGCATACCATAAAAATTTCTATATTTGTACATTTTATAGATGTAGGAAGATAACTAATTTATATTTTTTGCAAATATATTCTATACATTTAATTTAATCATATCACATAGGCTGGATTTGGGGGGTGTTTTTAAAGGACTGAGAATTTAGTGTTCATTTTTGTAATCCAACAACTTTATCCAAAAATGCAGAAAATTTTTCTGGTTGGCCAGGAAGGTAACATTTCAGTGTTGACAAGTCCATTGACTGTAACAGCCCAGGAAGCGTGCTAAAACAAAAGAAGAGAAGTATTAGGTAACATGGGAGAAAATGTCATAATTCACCTGCTGTCCACTTGATGACAAAACCTAATTTCCAAGAAGAGCAATGTTTTTTTTAAACTGTACATGTAATTTTCATATGTTTTATTTATAGCCATACAAATTTGTTAAAGCAACACAGAGAATACTATAGAGCATTAACACCAATTCAACAGATACACTCTTTTTAACATCATATAATATTTTAGAAATGTTACTACATGGAAAAAGTGTAGATGTGGCTTTGTAATACTTCTCAGGACTAGGAAGATATAAATTAAAACAAAATTAATTTATGAAAACAGAATAAATGAAACCAAAATAATATCTGGCAGAATAGAAAAAACATTGGGGAGACTACCAGACCATGCAGGAAGTAAAATAAGTTTCTACTTCTATTCACTATCATAAATCTATATACAATTAAGCAATAGACAACCATTATACAACATTGGAAATAAGGATATATGCCACAAAATGAAACTTATTTCAGAAGTTTATTTAAATTAGTCACTTAAATGGGACACACTAACCAGTCTAAATTTGGGAAAAATAAACAATTTACCTATAGTGAAAGTACAACAAATTGTTCATTTTTACTACTTTTATGTGTGTAACTTTCTTGAAATTAATGTAAGAAAAACTCTTCTAAAGCTGTGGGGAAAATGAACAATTAATAACTTATGGTTTCCTTTTTGGCCTCAGTGGAACAACACAACATGTTTGTGAAGTCCATGTTTCTCCTTTTTATGCACCCAAAGTCACAGCTGACTTACCACTGTAAGTGAAAATGTATCTGGAAAAACTGATCCACATAAATTAGTTAGAAAAATCAGTTTATTCCTTTTAACCCCTAGTGATCATTTACCCAAGGGCAGATATGCCCACCATCCATAGCATACATCATTTTGTCTAACTTTGTCACTGATGCACAATACTTCAAGACTGGCTTCTATATTACACAGTCCCCTAACACTGATGTTCTTCCACAGTAAACAGATGAGGAAAGTAACAGTTCTACTCCAAAATTTCTGAAGCTGTGTCCTTTCGATGAGAATAGGAATCTGTTTTGTTTACTAATGTACAGCAAGTGCCTGTAACAATACCTTGCACGCAGTTGGTGCTCAATAAATATTAATGAACGAACAAGTATTGACTGGGCGCCTAAGAAATAAAACATGAAAATTAAAAGTTTATTATTATCTACCCACGTGCTTTTATGGTTTTATTTTAAATCAATTTCAATTTATTGTAACAAAAATCTCTAAATTTTAAACACTTCTATGAGGTTTTTACCCTTCAAAACGTTAAATTAGGAGTTTAAAGTCAAACAGGAAATACTGACATGGCCCTTTTAGAATGAAAATCTGCAATTTTCTTCATCCTCTTTACTCAGTTCTTGCTGAATTCTAACACAGTTCTAGCAAGTAATGCTTCTTACAATAAAGTAATTCCCCTGCTTAAAACGCTCCAATGACTTCTTACATAACACAGAATCTCAGCTCTTACGTGAACTATCCCTGCCCAGCCTTATCTTATACTACATTTGCCCTTTCCTACTATGTGCCTGCCACACTAACCTTCCCTCTGTTCCTCAAGGACAAATTCCAGCTTCACTCTTCACTTTTGACCTTTTACCACAGTTGTTCCTCTGCTTCTAGAGCTTTCTGTGACTGGCTCTTCCATCAAATTCAGCTCTCAGCTCAAACATCACCCTATCTTATTTTGTTTGCAAGACATTTCCCTATGTGAAATTATCATGACTATGTACTTTTTTTTCCCACTGTCAATCACCCACCATCACAATGTAAACACTATGAGCACAGGGACCTCACTCTTCCATACCACTATACTTACAATGCCTGAAACAGTACCTAGGACATACTAGATGCAATTCACCTGTACAAGAATGAGTACATTTAATTGAGGGCTGCCAGTGGGCTTACTAATGGTAAAACCTTAATTAATGTAAGTTAATGTCTCTCTTGAATACTGAAAATCTGAATAATGAACTCATAAATTTGATACTCAGAGATCTGTACACTAAGCTAAGCACATATATCCACACTCAGATATTCACATGCAAAGGCCTAGCCACAAAGATGCAACGCAGTGATCAAAGTCAGAAACTAACGTGATGGTATCACAGGTGAAAAGAATCAAAGCACGTTTGATAAACAGGAGAAGAAATGGGTTAGGTGCATGGGTAAGAACAGCTAGCAAGGAATTAGAAGACAGTGGTGACAGATTCATCCTTTAGTATACCTGCAGGTACAGTAGAAAAGATGCCCCTCTTTGTGTAGCTGCTTTGCCAGTTCTAGCTGGTGATTATTCATCAACTTCTCATTTATAACTACTACAAGTGGCTTTCTTTTTTCCAAGGTCTCCAAACAGCTTCCTGCACCTATGGGAAAACAAAGATCAAATTTGTTATTTGTACTCCTCCCTTTTTAAAAAGATTTATTTATTTTTATTGTAAAGTCAGATATACAGAGAGGAGGAGACAGAGAGAAAGATCTTCCATCTGATGATTCACTGCCCAAGTGACTGCAATGGCTGGTGCTGCGCCAATTCAAAGGTAGGAGCCAGGAACCTCCTCCAGATCTCCCACGCAGGTGCAGGGTCCCAAGGCTTTGGGCTGTCCTTGACTACTTTCCCAGGCCACAAGCAGGGAAGGGAAGTGGAGCTGCCGGGATTAGAACTGGCCACCATACGGGATCCCCAGCACACTCAAGGCGAGGACTTTAGCAGCTAGGTCACCGTGCCAAGCCCTAATGCATTCTCTTTAACATCTATTTTTATTTGAAAGTAAGATTTAGAGAGGAGAGACACAGAGATCTTCCATCTACTGGTTCACTACACAAATGGCCACAACAGCCGAAGCTGAGCTAATCTGAAGCCAGGAGCAAGGAGCTTGTTTCGGGTCAAGTCTTCCATTCAGGTGCAGGGGCCCAAAGGATTTGGGCCATTCTCTGCTGCTTTCCCCAGGTTATAGCAGGGAGTTGGATGGGGAGTGGAGCAGCCAGGACATGAACTGGCACTCATATGGAATGCTGGCATGCAGGCAGATTAGTCTATTATGCCATTGTGCCGAGCTCTGTTAATGTACTTCTAAAAAATGTATTTATTTGATAGGCAGAATTATAGAGAGGGAGAGACAGAGCCCTTCCATGCACTGATCCACTCCCCAAACGGCCCCAGTAGCTGAGGCTGTGCTAGGCCAAGGCCAGGATTCTGGAACTCCACCCAGGTCTCCCATATGTGTGGAAGAAGCCTGAGTACTTGGGCCTTCTGCTTTTTCAGGTGCATTACCAGGGAGATGGATTAGAAATGTAGCAGGTGGGACTCAAACCAATGTTCATATGGCAGGCTAGCATCACAGGTAGCAGCTTAAGCCACTATACAACAAAAATCTAAAAATCCTCTAAATAAAAGTTTAAAATATATTCTGGGAAAAACAACTGGAACTGTAGTAAACATGTACAGGATTTTATTTGTACCAGGATACTTCAAAAAGTTTGTGGAAAAATGAAATCTGAAGTTTATTTTCTGAGTGGTCATTGTGGTATTGTACCCAGGACTTAATCCAGCCTCCAGCTTTTTCTTTGTTTTCAGAGTCGGTTTCCCACTTAGAGAATAGTTTTCTAAGCAGGTTTTTATTTATTTGAAAGGAAATGAGGAGGGAGAGAAGTAGAGCGTATCACTCATTTGCTGGTTCACACTCCCAAATGGCTGCAAACATTTGGGCTGGACCAGATCTAAGTCAGGAGCTTAAAGTCCACCCAGGTCCTCCACATGAGTGACAGGGGGCCAAGTATTTGGATCACCACCTTCTGCTTTCCCAGCTACGCAAGGAACTGGATTAGAATCACAGCAACCAGCTTGCTGGAATGGGTACCTATATAGGATGGTGGCGTACGTGTGTTAAGCTGCTATGCCAGGATTCTGGTCCCCAGCTGCCACTTTCTTTCTTTTTTTTTTTTTTAAGATTCATTTCCACTGGAAAGTCAGATTTACACAGAAAACAGAGAGAGAGAAAGATCTTCCATCTGTTGGTTCACTCCTCAGCTGCATCCACCTGAACTGAGCCGATCTGAAGCCAGGCGCCAGGAACCTCTTCTGGGTCTCCCACCCAGATACAGGTCCCAAGGCTTATGGCTGTCCTGCTTTTTCAGGCCAAAAACAGGGAGCTGGATGGGAAGTGGAGCAGCAGGGAAATGAACCAGCACCCATATGGGATCTCAGCACTTGCAAGGTGAGGACTTTAGCCACTAGGCTACTGCACTGGGCCCTCCAGCCTCCACTTCTAATCCAGCTTTCAAGCTAATGTTCACCCTTGCAGGCAGCTATCTCAAGTAACTGAGTCATTGCCACCTACTTGAAAATCCCAGATGGAGTTCCAGGCTCCAGACTGCTGGCTTTAGTCTCATGTAACTCTAGCTGTTGCTGGTATGCAGGGAGTGAACCAGCAGTAATTGTTTTAAATACATAACATTTTTAAATAAATAAAATTTAAAAGTTCTTTTTTTTATATATTTATGAATACCGGTCTTCTAAAAGTTCATGGAAAATGCACAATATGGATAATATATGGATTTCAAAGTTTTTGTTATTTATTTGAAATGCAGCAGAATCTCCCATCTGCTAGATACCTCCCCACATGGCTGCAACAGCCATAGCTGGGCCATAGGAGTCAAGAGCTTCTTCTGATTTCCCATTGAGAGCAGGGGCCAAAAGACCTTGGTCCTCCTGTACTGCTTTCCTGGACCATAAACAGGGATCTGGACTGGAAAGTATAACCACTGGAACTCGAACTAGTGTCCCATAATGGGATGCTGGAACTGTAGGTGGGGGTTTAGCATGCTAACCACAGCACCAGTACTGGATTTTCAAAATTTTTGGCATCAGTCAACTTTTTTCATTTTCCATTAAAAAAAAAAAAAAAAGCCTTGCACAACTACTACTTACATAGTATTTACACCATTATTAAGTATTGTAAGCAATCTTAAGCTGATTTAAAGTGCAGTATATGGAAGGATATATCTAAGTCCCAGGCAAACACCATTCTACCTTGTAGTAGGGACTGAATGTGCACGTGGTCTTGGAATCAATCCCGCACATTCTAGGAGACAACTTCAGTTTACTTCTCCTCAAACAGAAAAAGCCTAGGACGTGAAAAACTCAGAGAGCCTCTGACCACTCCTTACGAGTCTACCTGGGAGGTACCATTCCCAGAATGGCTCTACTGTTAATGAATTTTCACCCATGAAACATTAGAATCAAGCCAATTCTGCATCTAAAAACTACTCAGATATTTTAAGTAGGAGCAAGAAGACTGGTGAACAGAAAGTTCCTTTTATGGAAGCCTAGCAAAATAAAGTATACATCTCTACTTCCAACACAAAGATGGACTCCCAATGAAACTGTTAAATATATCTTGACAGTAGGATGCTGGACTCTGCTAGCAATGTCAGGATACCCCTAAATAGCAGAATGATAGACTTATGACTGCTTATGAAGGACTGTACTACTGTATTATATAGAGGAAATCAGTGGGGAGAGGGAATTTGGGGAGGGGGGTAAAGGAGAGATCGCAAAGCCTATGGAATTGTATCATAAAATAAAATAAAAATACACAATAGGGCCCAGAGCAGTAGCCTAGCGACTAAAGTCCTCGCCTTGCACACACAGGGATCCCATGTGGACGCTGGTTCTAATCCTGGCAGCTCCGCTTCACACCCAGCTCTCTGCTTGTGGCCTGGGAAAGTAGTGAAGTACAGCCCAAAGCCTTGGGACCCTGCACCCGTGTGGGAGACCTGGAGAAAGCTTCAGGTTCATGGCTTTGTCGGGGCAGCTCTGCCCATTGTAGCCACTTGGGGAGTGAATCAATGGACGGAAGATCTTCCTCTCTGTATGTCTGACTTTCCAATGAAAAAAAATCAATCTTAAAAATAATAATAATAAAAATATACAACAAAAATGGCTTCAGAACAAGCTTGTTATCTAGCCACCACTTACTGACTGGACGAGTCCCTTAACTCCTGAGTTTCCTCACTGTAAAATGGAGAAAATACGGGTATATAAAAAAATGTACAGGAAAAAAAACATGAATCATGAAAAAAAGTATGTCAAGTATTACAATATTTTTTTTTTTTTGCACAGAAACAAATACCCTTTCATTGCAGCTGCCATGAAGGTCTTGCAATTTGCTTGTTTTCACTTCGTATGGGAGAACTAAATGAGACATAACACAGAAAACATCCCAAGGAGTTTCAAAAGCTCTTTTTTTTTAACATACTGCATTTATTATTATTATTATTTTTCATGATATGATTCCATAGGCACAGAGATTCCCTTCCATCCCACTCACCCCATTCTCCCTCACAACTAATATTGTCACAACAGTATAGTCCTTCAGCAACAACCACAGGCCCATCATTCTGCTATTTAAGGCCACCATGGCATTGTAGGTATAGGCAATGGTAGATAGCCTACTACCCCACTGTCCAAAAGCTCTTTAGCTACTATGTTATAAGTTTTTAATTACCAATCTGTCAGTGTTTCTCTATTGTGACTTTTCTGTCCTCAACTATACTGTTTCAGATCTATATTATGTATAGATATAAATTATATATTATGTATACACATGTATCCATCCTCCCTCATGGCAGTGCAAATTGGCATGCTCCCTAAATGCAATCTGGAAGGAACTGGTTCATTATGGTGGTCGGTTCGCTGAAGGGCAGACGGTGATACCTGCATGATCCACAGTTGTTCAAGACTATTTCTGACTGAATTCATTTTGCACACACACTTTTAATAGAAATACGAAAACAACCTTTCAAAGCTAAAGCTAATTTCACTGTGACTGATTCAAACCAGGAGCAGGCTAAAACACTGCTTCAGATCCAAGGCGCAACAGGAATTCCGAGCTGCCAGTCAACCACACATGTCATCAGTGAACTACTTCGTCCTCTGGGCTCAGGGTTTCTCAGTGTACAGCTGAGCAACAGTGAGTTTTCCATTGCTTCCTTCACCAGAAACAGTAAATTCCAGTAAGGTTCTCTCAATAGTTCCATTCAAATAATTATAGTAACAATTATGCCCAACAGGCCTATTGGCAGTTCTCCTAGTGACTTGAGCTCAGAAGGGTCTCTGTCAGCAGGTTAACTGTTCCGTCTCAAAGACCCAATGCTGAAATCAGAAGGGATTTTACCTGCGTGACTAATAACAAGGTCTGCTTTCTCGAGGTCTTCTTTCAAGGAATCCTTGTATCTGTAAACATCTAGAGTAAAGGACTCGGTACTGAATGGCTCCGGCACCACCGTTCCTCTGCCAATCTGGAGGATAAGTCGGTGGTAGCCTAAGCTCTTGAATATCTGAAAAGGGAAAACAAGAAACCGCGGGCCTTTGAAACGTGTTCTTCCAGAAAAAGCGCAGTTACAAAGCAGGAAGCCCGCGTGCAGACCCTCCCCCCCCGCACCGCCTCCCCATCCACCGCAATGTTCCCACCTTCACCGGTTCCGGGCGCCACCAGGAAGCTCACTAACCCTAAGGGAGACCCAGCTCGCCAGGGAGGGAAAAACAAAGCAAGACAAAACAACCCCCCGTGCCAGGTAGGGGGGGAGAAAGGGGAGGAGGAGGTGGTGGTGGTGGTCGCAAAGCAGCCGGGGAGAAGCCCGGTTCTACCTCGGGAGAGAACCGCGAGCCTTCAGGGGCCGGACGGGGGCCGCCTGGGAGACCGCAGGCCGCGGGGCCCAGCTCCGGGCAGGCAGAGCCCGGCGGGGCGGGCCGGCCTGGGCAGCAGCCCCAGCTCTGGGGGCGGAGGCGGAGAGTCAGCAAGGCGGGGGGGAAAAAAAAAAAAGCCAGGGAAAAGGAGGAGGAGCCGCCGTAAGGACGGGGAGGCGCGGCCCGGGAGAGACGGCGCGGGAGCCGGGAGCGGGGGGCGGAAGCGAGGGCCGCTGGGGGCGCTGAGGAAGCGGGACGGGAAAAGAGCTCCTCGCGGCGGCACCTGAGGTACAGCGGCGGGGCGTTGTTTGCCGTAAGTGGCGGTCGAGCAAGGTTAGCGGGCGCAGCCGTGGAAAGGCGGCCGCCGCGGCGGGCGTGACACGCAAGCGCTGCGCCTGCGCCCCCGCCCTCACCTGCAGACTCTCGCGCGCCGAGACGCACGCTATGAGGTCGTCAAAGCTGGTGGTCCCCACGGTAACGAACACGCACTTCATCGCTCGGGTTCCGCACGGCCGACTCGCAAGGGCCGGATGTGACGTAGCGGAGGCCACGCGCGCCGTGGGGGGGGCCGTGTTCTGTGGTAGAAACGGAAGTCGATCGTGGGGCGTCGCGGGGCGGTGAGCCCCGGTGTGTCACCGGTGGGGAGGAACCACAGACCTCGTGGGCTGTCGTGCTCTCAGGGCACGCGGGTGTTATTTATTTTTTTTTAAGTGACCTACCTACCACAGTATCCTGAAGATTATGTTGGCATCATTTTTTTGGATCCTACACGATGTTTAATGAACTGAAGAGTTTCTCCAAGTTACTTATTCACTAGTGTGTTTTGCCTAGGTACATTTGAGTTTTAATTCGAGTCAGTGAAGATGGGCTGAGTGAGAGAGGGTGAAAAATAAAACTGTACCCCCCCCCCCCCGCTGGAAAGACACTACTCTCAGGCTCTCCTTCCAGCTCTGGTTGTCTAAACATCACAGTCCTGGAGGGTCTCGGAAGTTGCGAAGAGACTGGTCAGTTCCCTCAGCAAACATCCAGTGTAAAATGCGGCCCGGCTCAATGGTGACCCAGACTAATCCACCCGCCTGCAGGCACTAACATCTTAAAAAGATGGCCAGTTCAACTCCCAGCAGCTCTGCCCTTCCAGCTCCCTGCTTGTGGCCTGGGAAAGCAGTGGAGGATGGTCCAAAGCCTTGGGACCCTGTACCCACTTGGGAGACCTGGAAAAAGCTCCTGCTTTCAAAAATTACTTCCGTTGAGCACCGGTTTCCTCACTGAAAAACAATCAATTCACATTAGAAGGCCTTACGATACTTCTTTTTTTACTCTACCCTGTAACTTTTTAAAAAGGTTTCATTGGGGCCAGCATTGTGATATAATGGGCTAACCTACTGCCTGCAGTGCTGGAATCCCATATGGACTGTTCAAATCCTGACTGCTCCGCTTCAAATCCAGCTAAAGAGCCTGGGAAAGCACCAGAGGATGGCCCAAGCAGTTGGGTCACTGAAACCGTATGGGAGACCCAGAAGAAACTCCTGACTCATGGCTTTGTCCAGCCATTCCTCCCATTTGGGGAGTAAACCAGCAATGGAAGAGTCTCTCTCTCTCTCTACCTCTATAACTCTGCATTTAAATTTTTTTTTAAAGCAACAACAAAAAGGGTATAATTTATTGCAAAAGTGAAAAGAAACAGAGCTTCCATCTGCCAGTTCATTCCCCAAATGGGTACAAGAGCCAAGGGTGGGCCAGACTAAATCTAGGAGCCATGAACTCCGTTTCAGCTCTCCCACTTGGATGGCAGGGGCCAGGTACTTGGGCTGTTATCTGTTGCTTCCCAGGCACATTAGCAGGAAACTGGATGGGATGCAGAGCAACCTGGACCCAAAACTGTTGCTCTGATATGGGCTGCAGTGTTGTAAGTGATAGCTTCATATGCTATGGCTCATGACTTTAAGAGCAAATGTTCTGCCATTTAATAGTGAAGCAGGAAAATTAAATTTCCTATATATTTACATTATATTTAATATATAATAATATTCTGAAATAATCATACTGATGCTTAAATTAACATTTTTTAAAAATTTGTTTACTTTTATCTGAAAGGCAGATTTATAAAGAGAAGGAAAGACAGAAAGATCTTACGTCCGCTGATTCACTCCCTAAGTAGTAACAAGAGCTAGAGCTGAGTCAATCTGAAACCAGGAGCCCAAAGCCTTTTGTGGGTCTCCCACATGAGTGCAGGGTTGCAGGGCTTTGGGCCATGCAGTACTGCCTTCCCAGGCCAGAAGCAGGAAGTTGGCTAGGAAGTGGAGCAGCTGGGACAAAAGCCAACGCCCATGTAGAATCTTGGCACTTGCAAGGCCAAGATTTAACCACTAGGCTGCTGCACCAAGCTCTGAATTAACATTTGTTAAAAGCTTCCTTCCTGTTTTGTCTTTAATAACTTACACACACACACACACACAAATGTAACTGATGGCAGCAGTAAGTGGGAGTTTAGTTTTATAGAATGACTTTGATTTGTCTTAATAGATTACATGGGTTAGTAATAATGGATTAAAAAGCCCTATTTGTTGGGCAAGAGATGATGGAATACATTTATTATTTTTGTTTATCTGTTTGTTTTGATTTCAGATAATTTAAGAGCTTATACCACCAGAAAGAATAGGATTGGTGAGAATTTGTATTGTAGCTTAGTTTGGGGTGACATTTTATGCTCTGTCTCTCTCTGTGGCTATTAAACGCAGAGACTGCCAGCTCTTATTCTCCCTACATCTGGAAGACATTAAATGAATACCATTGTTCGATTAAATATCGTTAAGTACATATATAAATTGAATGTTCTTAAATTCCCACAAAATAAGAAAATTAAATTTCTAACACTTTAAAAATGTGTAGACTTTAATAAGACATCTAACAAAAACTAACAGGAAAAACCAAGATTATATATTCTTAGCATGATTTTTAGCTTATGTCTTTTCCTCTAACTTACCAATATTAAAAGTAAAATACAAGCATACATTTTGTTTTACTTAAGTGAGTTTCTCCTAAATTGGCCTGCATTTTCTGAACAAATAAGTTAACATGATTCCTAACGATGTTTACAGTTTCAAAAAAGTAAATTGAATTCAACTAAATTAGAGAATTACTCCAACAAATTTTATTTCGGTAGTAACTATGTTTTGAAGTCTGTCTGCTTGAAATTTTTTTCCAAGATCTTTACTTGAAAATCATGGGATGGCATTAAATTGAATGAATTAGTGGATAAGCATTTGTAGACTAGATACTTCCTAAGGAAAATAGAATATTGAAATATTGTTTTAAATTAAGAATAAGTATTTTTCCTTCTTGTTTTCGAAAGCTACAGAGAGGCTACATCATTTTTCTTTTAAAGAGTTATTTGTTTGAAAGGCACAGTTTTAAAATAAGAATTTATTTATTTAAAAGACGGAGTTACAAACAGAAGGAGAAAGAGATCTTCCATCTGCTGGTTCACTCCCCTAAATGGCTGCAATGCCAGAGCTGGGCAGGTCTGAAGTCAGGAGCCAGGAGCTGCATCTGGATCCTCCAGTGGGTAGCAGGACCCCAAGCACGTGGGCCATCTTTCACTATTTTCCCAGGCACATTAGCAAGGAGCTGAATCAAAAGTGCAGCAGCTGGGTCTTGAACCAGTACCCATATGAGATGTCAGCTTTAGATGCAGTGGCTTTACCCACTATGCCGTAGTACTGACCCCTAGTTTTTCTATAATATGCATTTTTGTGAACTTTGGATGCTTTCAAATTTATTTATTATTCTTTTTTTTTTAAGATTTATTTTGTTTTTTATTGCAAAGTCAGACAAAGAGGAGAGAGAGGAAGATCTTCCATCCAATGATTCCCTCCCCAAGTGATTGCAGCGGCCAGTGCTGAGCCATTCCGAAGGCAGGAGCCAGGAGCTCTTCCAGGTCTCCCATGCGGGTGCAGGGTCCCAAGGCTTTGGGCTGTCCTCGACTACTTTCCCAGGCCACAAGCAGGGGGCTGGAAGGGAAGCGGGGCTGCCAGGATTAGAACCGGTGACCATATGGGATCCTGGTGGGTTCAAGGTGAGGACTTTAGCTGCTGGACCACCCTGCTGGACCCAAGCTGCACCCATTATGTGCCAGTATCACTACTTTCCTACTTCTGTCATTTTAAAAGGAGAGTTTAAATATTTATCTATTGATTTGAAAGGCAGATGAGAGAGAGAGAGATCTTCCCTCTGCTGGTTCACTCCCTGAATTGCAGTGGCTGGAGCTTATGCAGGAGCCAGTAACTCAACTGATTCTGCCACATGGGTGGCAAGGGCCATCATCTGCTCCCTTCCCAGGCATGTTATCAGGAAACTGGATCAGAAGCCAAGCAGCCAGGACTGGAGTCAGAGCTTTGGAAATGGGAAAACCGATTGCAAGCAGCAGCTTACCTTACTACACCATAGTGCCATTCCCATCATAAATCTTTGATGTATAGCTATGTCATTTTTTTCTCTTCTGGACTGTGATATCCTAAAAGGTAGAGATTAAGTGTGAATCACCGCTGAATTTTCAGTATTTAGTGCTGTTGCAGCAATGTGGGTGATAGTTGCAAAATGTTCATTGAACTAAATAAAGTTAAATTCTTAGGTGCAATGTTATGCCCTCTGGGAATTGCAAAGACAAATAAAACATAATACTTATATTCTCCTAATAGTAATTACTTGTTTTACTCATTGGATTATGAGTGATGTAATTATGAATTTTAGGAGGAACCATATAATCCATTTTTCCCCTCTTTTTTTCCGGACAACAGACCAATTTTCCCAAGGTTACTCTGGTAATGGAGCTAAGGGTTGAACCCACCCCTCTTTGCACCTGTCCAGTGCTCTCTACCCTGTGCCAATTCATCCCTTAACAGTGAGCCTGCCATGTAATCATATCTTCATCATGATCTAAGCAACAACAGCAATATCATTCTTAGAGAATGATAAACCAAAAACCTTTCTTTTTAATCTTTCAACATAGCATGTAACAAGATCCTTGAGGTGCCTTTAGATTTATTTCTTTAGTTTTCCGTCATTCATCAAAATTCTCTATCTTGTATTATTCAAGTAAATTCCTTTTATCAAAGGCAAGAAAATGCAAGTTATAAAACACTGGCTTTTAATCTCCGCTTTGTGGATCTCTGTGTTCCTCAGAAGCTGCCAACTCTGACCATCCCTTTCCTATAACCCGACCCTTCAAATATTATTAACAGCTGTTGTCTTTACTTTCAAGGACACAAAAATAATGATTCCTAGCTTCCCTGTTCAAATCCAGAGTTAAAATGTAATGGAGTCCATTTTTAGAGAGCCATAAAAAAGCCATAAAAATGTTAGTGTTTTTATTTCAATGCTGTTTAAACTGTTCAGAACAGATTGCCTGGTTTCTTCAAGATCCTAACAAGTAAAATGAAGGACTTCATTTACCCAAGAATGTGCAAGAGAGCCAACAGAATTTAAAAAAAATAAGATAATGAGAATATAAAAGAAACACTAAGCCG